TACACCTTTCCGAGCGATCATTTCTAGTCGTTTCTATTTTCTAAATTAATATTTTTGTTTACATTTGCAGAATTTGAAAATATATTATTAATATTATGTAATTATATGTTGTGTGAATTCACATACTACTATTTCATGGTGTGTATGTGAAAAATATGCAACATAAAAACAGAATGCAAAGGATTAAAGAGAATTTCTTATATTTACATGTGCGATTATATTAAATTGCTTATTTCGAAAATGCATGAAGATCTATCAAAATCTAAAAATTAGAATATGCAAGATGACTTTCTTTTTTTTTTGTTGCACGCATTGGTATGCAATAAACGATTTTGTTTTTAATTGTTATTAAATAATTATCAACGCTGATTTTCAGAGTTCCCATATGAAAATGATAAAAATTTGGGACAAAAAAATTCTGAAATTTATATATCCTCTTTCTTGAAGTCTCTCTTGAAGCATCTCTTCAGTCGTCGGGGGGAAAATTATTTTCTTCTCCTTCACCATCCCCCTCGCTGGCTTCGGTGTCACCGGCCTGCGAACGTTCTCTGCACGGGAAATTCAGAGAAATCGGAGGTTCGGTTTAATTTCGGATCGGAAGATCAGTGAACTTTCCAAAAGACGTAGTTGGGACAACGGGACAGCGTAGTTGTTGCTCCGCTATTACTTATACATCTGGTCAGGCGAAAAGGAGGGAAAGCAGGAAAAGGAGGAGGAATCTCTTTGTGCTAGTCGCCGCGTGTGCACCGCCACGTGCCACAGATATTTATAGAATATTACCTATTGTAGATAATTATTATAAATCATTATTGCGTCGGGACATCGATAACATGGTGGCCAACGTGTGCTTTTCTCTAGATTACTTTGGAAATCTGTGAAGGGACTTATCGGCGACATTGAGTGTGATTCAATATTCGTTATCTGCATCAAAATTAAGTGATTATTAATCGATTCAATAATTCTTATTTTATTAACCCTCATTAATTTGATTCAATAATTGACTTGTCGATGGCAAAGTGTGATTCAATATTTGTTATCTAAATTGAAAACAATTGTGTTTCGACTCATCAGTGATATTAAGTGTGATTTTATAAATTTCTTGCTAAAGAAAAAAAAAAAGAGAAAAGATGAATAAGAGAGCAAGAAGGTCGGTTAAAAAAAAATATCTACTATTTATCTGCATTAAAAATAGTTGTATCTTAAAATTAAGTGATTATTAATTAATTTCTTAATTTTTATTTTTTTAGTCTTAATTAATCTAATTAAGTTGAATAATTAGTCTAATTAAGTTAATCTTAATTAAATAATTAAGTTGTCGGCATCAAATGCTATTTCCAAATGCTTGGCATTTCTTTAAAAATTCTGAGCATTCAAATTATTACGCATTTCGATTTGGCCTTGTTATAATACCATTATTTTTGTAAACAGATCCTCGGATGGCGTCAACACGGTGTTTTCGAAACATTGATTTTAATTTTATTAATGGACATGGCACATTACCCGGTACAACTCGCTCAATGAAATATATCCTTTTTCGAACATGGTAAGGTGACGACACAATTTTTTAAATATTAAACCTTTTCATACACATCTTTTATTAATTATTTTAAGATTTTTATAAGACGCCCGATCAGTTATCGGTGTTACGGTCATGGCACATACAAAAAACGTAAGACTTATGAAGTAAGAAAAATTGACCACCCACAATCAATCATTCTTCTCGAGGAATAATCGTCTGTAATTTGTCATTTTTCTTATTACTTAAGTTTTTTTTTTTTTTTTTATATGTCATGGTCTTTAGGGTTTCCGCCCTGAACAGAAAAAAAAAACTTAAGCAGTAAAAAAATTGACCAATCACAGACGATTATTCTTCGACCGTAAGAATACTCGAATGTGATTGGTCAATTTTCTTACCGCTTACATTTTACTGTTTAAATTTTTGTGTTAAGTTTTTTTTTTTTTTTGTTTCTTTTTTGTCGAGCCACTGCGATTTCGGTAAAATGCGTTTGCACGATCGCGCGCAGATTGCCAAGATACAAATCGCGAGATACTTTCAAAACAAACGCACGTGAACGAGGGGGCGAGAGGCGCGGGCATCCTTGGAGTTCCCGCGACGGAGACGGAGCAGCGGCTTGCGGTTTGCGGCCTCGCGACGACTCTGCGGGAAATCGGGAGGAAAAAAAGGCGCGTGAAGAAGAAGAAGAAGAAGAAGAAGATGATGATGATGAGAGGGAGGACCACCTTCGCGGGCGCGCCGCAAAGTGGACACGCGTCTACGCGCTAAGACAAAAATTGCGTAGCAGCCAAAAGACACATGCGCGAACTCCCCCTGTGTGTGTGTGTGTACTCCTTTGTGTTATTTTCAGGCGGTAAGTCGCGCCGTTTCGCCGGAGGCTTTAAATAGGACCGGGTCGCCCGACGAAGAAGGCAGTTTTCTCGCGACACCGTTCCTACATGCTGGAGCATCGCACCGTCTTTGACGTGAGTAAACAATAGACGCGGTAACGTCAAGTTTCACGAGGCGGAGATCGTCGTCGAGATCGTCGTCGTCAATCCGGTCGATCCGGTCGATCCGGTCGCCGATACCGGATGTCGCGATCAGGTCATACAAATGAAACGTCGGAGTGACAACCGACTATCTAATCGTGAGATGTTGTCGCGGAATGGGATTCCCCTGGTGCGTTGAGAGATTTTCGATTTTTGCAAGATGGAAGGGTGAACTGCTGAGAAATTCTGACGTATCGAGATATTAATAATTAATTTCTATTTGGAACAGTCATCTTTTCTCTCGGGAGTTGTATCTATTCTGAACAATTCCAAGTAAGATTGACTAGATTTTTTTCCTCTTTTCCCTTTAAAATTTGTAAATTTTCTGTTGGTCGATCTGTTGGTGAGTCAAGATACAATGTGTTGTTTGTTAAATTATATAATTAATAGAACTTAATGAGATATATTTTGAACGAATAAGCTTCTAATTAATAACGGAATATATATGATATTTTTGTACGTTATATAAAAAGAAACATTATAAAATTATTAAAAATAAATGTCACATTGATAAATTTGTCCGATTAAACATTATGAATAACATTGAATAACTTAGTATATTACTCTGCATTGCTGATTAGAGATCAATTTGTTAGACTCTACTTTTTTTCTTCGATTGTGGTTTTATGATAGAAATCTCAATCGTCTCAAAAACGCGTTGTGCGACAGGTGTCAAACCCGCAACACATCACTTCCGCTTTGATACTTAAACCGCTGTGATACCGAGTTGCGCGACTATCAAGATCTTGCATCAATCCAGACTAAATATTTACGATAGTCGGATATATGCGGCGAAAATTGGCAGTGAATATCGGTTCTTTTGCGTCGTTACGATCCGACCGACGTGCGGTCAGATCGATCTTAATCTTACCAGCGAAATAAAAATCGTAATGTCGTGTAATACGTAATTATTAAACTTAAAGAGCGATAATAAAGAATTAATTCGTGTTGCTCCGTATAGATTTACATGACATTTGGTATTATAATAATATTGAGCAAGAATTGTTTTCCGAGAATTTGTTTCAAGTTAATAAAATTTAATAATTCAAACTATTTTTATGATATATAATTAATTTGATTCTGACATTCAAATTAAACAAAATTATAATTCAATATTAAAGGAAATCGAAAATTAAAAGATTCGGTTTAATAATAACCTACTTAGCTGCACTGATGATTTTAATTAAAATTTAAATTTTTGACAGCATTGCAACATTATAATCTAACTAAAAAAGAAACATACATATATATATATATATAAAGAGA